ATTCATCATGTTGTTAGCTTTCTTGTGCCACTGAACAAATTTGAAGAAATACTTTGCCTAACTTTTCCAGTTGTCCTCAAAGGGAGAATTAGTTCAAATTATTAGAAAGGAGCTCCCCAGGCCGGGCGTGGTGGCTCACGCCTGTAATCCCAACACTTTGGGAGGCCAAGGCGGGTGGATCACGAGGTCAAATACAAAAAATTAGCTGCGCATGGTGGCGTGTGCCTGTAATCCCAGCTACTCAGGAGGCCGAGGCAGGAGAATTGCCTGAACCCAGGAGGCAGAGGTTGTGGTGAGCCGAGATTGTGCCATTGCACTCCAGCCTGGGTAACAAGAGCGAAACTCCGTCTCAAAAAAAAAAAAAAAAAAAAAGAAAAAAAAGAAAGGAGCTCCCCAAGTCTATTTTCTAAGGTTGTATTGCACTCTGACTCTTCCAAGAGCTTCTGCTGACCCCTGCTTATCTCCATTTTCTTCTCTGTATCTCCTCACCCCCACACGCGATGGTCTTTCACAATGCCACGCCTTTACTTGTTTTTCTCTGTTCAAAGTGTGACCCACCAAGATGTTAGAGCCTTGGGAGAGGGAAATTCTTCCTAACTTGCCATCTGGGACAACAAAAAGGTAGCAATGCCAAGATGGTTATCAAAGACCAGATAGGCAGTTTGCCAAGAGGCTGTCTAGAGGGAGCTGACCAACTTTCAACCAGGAGAGAAAGTCTCAGTTCTAGGAAACTAGGAGTGGGTAAATCAAGTTGAAAGCAGGATAAAAGCATAATGAAAAGACCACTAGAGATTTGGAAGAAAGAGAAAAGACGCAAAGTATAGGCATGGTGTGGTCTGTTTGGGGCAATTCTAAAAACACTAGATTTAAGCCAGATATTCTATTTGTTCACAATATTCTTGAAAGCTCAGCTTGGGCGGGCGTGGTGGCACACACCTGTCATCCCAGCATTTTGGGAGGTCGAGGTGGGTGAATCACCTGAGGTCAGAAGTTCGAGACCAGCCTGGCCAACATGGTGAAACTCTTGTCTCTACTAAAAATACAAAAAATTAGCCGGGAGTTGTGGTAGCTGTAATTCCAACTACTCGGGAGGCTGAGGCAGGAGAATCACTTGAACTCAGGTGGTGGAGGCTGCAGTGAGCTGAGATCATGCCATTGCACTCTAGCCTGGGCAACAAGAGTGAAACTATCTCAAAAAAAAAAAAAAAAAAGCTCAGCTTAAGTGCTTTTCTTAATTCTCTTGGCTGGAATCACTTCCTCCTTTAACCTCCACAGTACTCTTCTTCCATTTAGCATATCATTTTTTTCCCCTATTGGCTTTGAATAGACTGTTCCTTCTAAATTATTAACTTCTGGATGGCAGCTGTGGTATAGTGGAAAGAACAATGGAATCCACATCAGAAGACCGGGGTTTCAGTCTCAGCTTCAGCACTTACCTCAGGTGTTTGAGCCCCAGTGTCTTCATCTATATAACAGGGATAATATAATTTACCCTATAGTGTGATTCAAGTATTAAGAGGTATAAGGTGTAAAAGTTGAACATAGATGGGAGGCCGAGGTGGGCTAACTGCTTGAGCCCAGGAGATTGAGACCAGCCTGAGTAACATGGCAAAACCCTGCCTCTACAAAAAATACAATAATTAGGCTGGGTGCTGTGCCTCATGCCTGCAATCCCAGCACTTTGGGAGGCCGCAGCAGGCAGATCATGAGGTCAAGAGATCGAGACCATCTGGCCAACATGGTGAAACCCCATCTCTGCTAAAAATACAAAAATTAACTGGGCTTGGTGGCATGCGCCTGTAGTCCCAGCTACTGGGGAGGCTGAGGCAGGAGAATCACTTGAACCTGCAAGGCAGAGGTTGGAGTGAGCTGAGATCATAGTACTGCACTCCAGCCTGGGCAACAGAGCAAGACTCCATCTCAAAAAACAAAAACAAAAAAATAAATGCCAAAAATTAGCCGGGCATAGTAGCCAGTGCCTGTAGTCCCAGCTACTTGGGAGGCTGAGGCAGAATTGCTTAAGCCTGCCAGGCGGAGGCTGCAGTGAGCTGAGATCATGCCATTGCATTACAGCCTGGGTGATGGGAGTGAAATCCTGCCTCAAAAAAACAAACAAACAAAGAAAACAAAACGGGCCGGGCGCGGTGGCTCAAGCCTGTAATCACAGCACTTTGGAAGGCCGAGGCGGGTGGATCACAAGGTCAAGAGATCGAGACCATCCTGGTCAACGTGGTGAAACCCCGTCTCTACTAAAAATACAAAAAATTAGCTGGGCATGGTGGCGCGTGCCTGTAATCCCAGCTACTCAGGAGGCTGAGGCAGGAGAATTGCTTGAACCCGGGAGGCGGAGGTTGCGGTGAGCCGAGATCGCGCTATTGCACTCCAGTCTGGGTAACAAGAGCGAAACTCTGTCTCAAAAAAAAGAAAAAGAAAAAGAAAAAGAAAACAAAACAACGAAAAAGAAAAAAGAAACAAGTGGAACACCAGACAAATAAAATGTTTCCATTAGCTGAGCTTACTATGTATATAAACTGCCCTAGATATCCAACATACATTATCTTATTTAGACCTCACTGTGTAGAAAGATCTATTACTACAGAATATTTAACAAATGAGAAAAAAGATGCAATGGTAGATTAAATCTAACTAATTTTTTTTTTTTTTTTTTTGAGGCAGATTCTCACTGTGTCTCCCAGGATGAAGTGCAGTGGTGAGATCTTGGCTCACTGCAACCTCTGCCTCCCCGGTCTGAGCAAGCAATTCTCCTGCCTCAGCCTCCAGGGTAGCTGGGACTACAGGTGGCACCACCACTCCTGGCTAATTTTTGTATTTTTAGTAGAGACGGGGTTTTATCATGTTGGGCAGGCTGGTCTCAAACTCCTGACCTCAGGTGATCCACCTGCCTCAGCTTCCCAAAGTGCTGGGATTACAGGCGTGAACCACTGCACCCTGCCAAATCTAACTAGTGTAAATCTAAGTAAGGCCACATAGGAGCAGAAAAAGAATTCAAATTTAGATCTGGGCCTGGCACAGTGGCTCATGCCTGTAATGCTAATACTTCGGGATGCCAAGGGGGGCTGATCGCCTGAGGTCAGGAGTTCGAGATCAGCCTGGACAACATGGTGAAACCCTGTCTCTACTAAAAATACAAAAATTAGCCAGGGATGGTGGTCGTACCTGTAATCCCAGCTACTTGGGAGGCTGAGGCATGAGAATCGCTTGAACCCAGGAGGCGAAGTTTGCAGTGACAGCATGAGAATCTGTCTCAAAAAAAAAAAAAAAAAAAAAAAAAAAAAAAAAAAAAGCAGGGCACAGTGGCTCACACCTGTAATCCCAGCACTCTGGGAGACTGAGGCAGGAAGATCACGAGGTCAGGAGTTCGAGACCAGCCTGTCCAACATGGTGAAACCCTGTCTCTACTAAAAACACAAAAATTAACCAGGCGTGGTGGTGGTGCCTGTAATCACTTGAACCCAGGAGGTGGAGGTTGCAGTGAGCAGAGAACTCGACACTGCACTCCAGCCTGGGTGACAGAGCGAGAATCCGTCACACACACACAAAATTTTTTTTAGATCTGTTTGGCTTGAAATCTAGCTGTGTCTACTGGTCTCCCCTCCTTCCCCAGGGCTCACAGGGACTTTTAATAGTGACCTTGAAATGACTTTTTAGTGTAAACTAATTTGGGCCAATGGTGTAGCTGGTGACCTACAAAAGTGTCCCATTAGCTGCTTCAAGGATTACCTGGTCTATCCTGATTTATAAGTAATTTTTCAAATATTTTGCTCAAAAGAACTTCCTAAGGAAAACTGTGTGTGTAATTCATTAACATACCACCTCTGTAGAAGGAACTTTATGTTCTCAGTTTTTGGTTTCAAAGAGGTACTCAGTTTTTTAAAGGAGGTCATAGAAACTTTTGAGAAGAAAGCCATGATTTGTTTCCTTAGGAAAAAAACCAAACACATTTATTCGATAATTTTTTTTTGAGATGGAGTCTCAATCAGTTGCCCAGGCTGGAGTGCAGCGGTTCAATCTCAGCTCACGGCAACCTCCCAGGTTCAAGTGATTCTCCTGCCTCAGCCCCCTAAGTAGCTGGGATTACAGGTGTGCAACACCACGCCTGGCTAATTTTCGTACTTTTAGTAAAGATGGGGTTTCATTAAATTGGCCAGGCTGGTCTCGAACTCCCGACCTCAGGTCTGTTCAAGAATTTTACGTTGTGGGCCAGGTGCGGTGGCTCATGCCTGTAATCCCAGCACTTTGGGAGGCTGAGGAGGGCGGATCACCTGAGGTCGGGAGTTCGAGAGCAGTCTGACCAATATGGAGAAACCCCTTCTCTACTAAACAACAAAACAAACAACAACAACAACAACAACAACACAGCCGGGAGTGGTGGCGCATGCCTGTAATCCCAGCTACTGCGGAGGCTGAGGCAGGAGAATCGCTGGAACCCGGGAGGTGGAGGTTGCAGTGAGCCGAGATCGCGCCACTGTGCTGCCTGGGCAACAAGAGAAAAACTCCGTCTCAAAAAAAGAAAAAAAGAAAAGAAAGAATTTTCCGTTCTGATCCCACTGATCACAAATTGACTCCTTTATGGAATAGGTGTATCATCTTTCATTTAAAAGTAATAAAAAACCACGAATCATTTGTATCAGGAAATCAGTGGAAATTTCCATATTTCCTGTGAAAATCTGATGGTGGTGAGGAAACTGGGGAGGCCGGAGTGATAACAGAAGTTGCCACAAAGTCAATTCCATGATCCTACTATCTCTGTCTGGAAAGGCCCTTACATAACTACCTTACTTTTCCAATAAAAAGCTACATATATGTCTTGCCCCTTAACTGACTTTACCTTTCCACTTTAAATACAACTGCGGATGAAGGATGAGAACAAGAAGAAACACTTAAAGGTCGGCCAAATAATTAGGGCTGCCCCAGGGAATCCGGGCGAGAGCACGCAAAAGCGCCTCTTCCCTCCCACCTCCTCCGGGACACACGCTTACTCGCCCTCCCGGCGGGCTCGCCCGCCGCCTCCTCCTTCCCTAACACGTGCTCTCCGGAACACTCTGGAGCCATCCCACCCCCGGCGGGGCTGGGCTCGGGAGCCGAACGGACCAATCGGCACGCGCTTTACAGCGTCGTGGCCCGACGACGTTGAGCCGCCCAATCCAGGGGGCCTTACCGCCCGTTTCCCGGAGCCCCGCCTCTCGCCGCCGCGCCCCCGCCCGCCGGTCTCCTCCTCCTCCTCCTCCCGTTCGCCCCTCCCCCGCCGCTCGGGAGCGGAGCCTGCCAGACGGAGAAACTGGGGCAGAAGTGAAGATGGCGGCGGCGGTGTTGGTGGCGGCGGCGGCGGCGGCTTCTCGCTAGTGACGCGCGGTGCGGGCTCGTCTCCTTCCCCACGTCCCTTAGTCCGGACCTCTTCCGCCGCCGGGACCAGACTGTCCCCTTAGCCCGTAGCCGGCAGCCGCCCGTCTCCTCGACCAGGCGCCCCTCTCCCGACGCCCGGCTGCCGCTGGCCGGCGGCGCGCCCCACGTCCCGGCCGCCTGCCTCGCACTCCGCGCTGTCGCCGGGGGAGTGGGTGGCGTGTGGATTCGCCCTCCTGCCCGCCCCTCCGGGCCGCGGACACACGCCCGGCAGGGAGGCGGCTGCGGCCCCTGCGTATTTGCTTCCCTCCATTTGAGGACTGGGAGGCGGCGGCGGCTGTGCGTTTTGGGGAGGGGTTGGGGGCTGGGGGGCGGGCGAGAGCGGGAGGGGGCCGCCCTCGGGAGGAGGACGAGAAGGAAAGCACCATGACGTCCATCCATTTCGTGGTTCACCCGCTGCCAGGCACCGAGGACCAGCTCAATGACAGGTAATAGGGCTGGCGGGTCGGCGGGCGCGGGGGAGGGGCGCCCTTCCTTCCCTCCCCTCCCCCACGGGCCGCGTCGGGCGGGTGCGGGTGTTTACGCGCCGGCCGGCCAGCTAGGGTGGGGTGCGGGGGTCCTTACTGCCTCCTGCTAGGCTCCTTCCGGGGCAAACTTCTGGTCCCGGGGGCAGGGGGTCGCGGGGGGAGCGCGGTGTAGACCGGACCCGCGTTGTAAACCGGAGAGCGCGCTGTATACCCCCTCCCCCCTCCCGCGAGGAGCAGCGTTGAACTCGGCGGAGATGGGGGGGGGGCGGTTTCTGGCTCTCGGGGGGCAGGCTGTAATTACTGCCCGGCTCAGGCTCGAGGAATCCATATTAGTCAAAGTTGAATTGAGACAGACAATGCGGATGGGGGATGGTGGAGGTAAAAAGAGAGGGAAGAGGGGAAGTGGGGCAAAGGGCCTCGGGCTGGGCTGGGCTGGGCCACCGGCAGCCGTGTCCGGTGGGGTGGTCTGGACTTGGGGATCCCGGGGTGGGGCGGCGGGGAGGGAGAAGCCGATTCCCGGCAGATCGCTGGGGGCGGGCGGGAGGTGATGGTTGGGGGGAGGGAGTGAGGGAGGAAGCGCCATGATTATTGTTATTATTATTAAATTTGAGCCCCTGCGGTGAGGTTTGCCTGCCCCGGGAGGGAATGGATTCTAGCGGGGGTGGGGAACTGGATTGGATTCCCTTTGCTCTCCTCCTGAAATGGTGCTGGCAGCTCCTGCTACCAGCCCCTGTGGTGTGAGCTTTTTTGTTTCCTTTTCTATTCTAATGATAGTGTTTTCCTGAGTTGTAATTTGACAGCTGAAAACCGTGCGTAGAGTGTCAAAGGAAAACTCTTACGTTTGCAGTTCGCAATGCTGCTTTTCTTAACACGCTGTAAATTTCTGGGTTGGGCTTGCTATGGGCGGAGGATGAACTGTGATTTTATTTTGTTTTTTGTCTTTTATAAGAAGGCTGTTTTGGTTTGGATTTCTCCTTTTCTTCCTCCACGATTCCTTGCCAGTTTAGGATATTGAATTGCAGTGCCGCATGCTCTCAGGGAACTGAGATAAAGCAGGAAAAGTTCCTTCACTGTTGCAAAACAGACTCAGGAGGTTGGGGGAGGCCTTCATTAAAGCGTGTCTTAGAATCTAAGACTCAGAATCTAATGATGGACTAAATGTTTACAGGATGAGAAAGTGGAGCATTCATTTTACGTCTTCCTCTCCCCCAGTACTTCACTGCTCTCTACATTTCTTTTGTGAATAGAAGGCCATCTGGTTCCAAGTATAGAGGTTAGATATAATTTTTGCTAAGTGACCCGGTGACTTAAGTTGCCTGATGCCCTGTTGTCATGCGCTTCCGAGAGGAAGAGGCCTAACTTGCTGCTAAGATACTGACCTCTGTTTCGGTATGTCTAACCGCCTCAAGTGGAGCAGACAGCTTTTAAATCCAGAGCTTGTGGTTTAGTTTCTGCTCTGGGTTCGGATTTGCTAATCTTTGCTGTAGCCATATTGTGTTGAACATGTTTGGGAACCTTTTGAAATACTTACTGAAAATAGTAAACACTCGAGTTGTTACATAGTTCCTTTAAATACTGAAATAACTTTTATTTAACATTTTGTTAATGTGGTTCTTACTCCGACTTTACTTCATTAAAAATCTTTTGGGGACATTAACCAAAATTTTTGGTAAAATTTAGAAACAGGCTAGCAGTGAGGATAGTTTTACGGTCATTAGTGGAACCATGTTGGTAGTGCTTACCTTGTAACTTAGAAAATTGCACCAGAGAGGAGGGAAGTAGGGCATGTTTTCTATATTAGTCCTAACTTTATGTACCAAGAATCCTGACTAGCTTACTCAGTTGGTTGTGCATGCCAAAACCTATTTTGCAGTTGTGTTGGGCACTTTGATTCATTTTTGAGCATTCCTTTTGCTTTAGCTATTTGAGAAGTTTACAAGTAATGTATCTTTTTAAATGCGAATTCTTTTTCCATTCCGAGTATAAACAATCAGCTTTGTTTGATTCTTGTATTATTATACAACATTAAAAATATTTAGATCATTGTGACTTTTCATTTCATGAAATTAGGAAAAAGTTAAGTGGAGTTGAGTCATAACCTGTGCATCAAGGTGGCAGGTAATTGAAAAATAGAAAGGTGCTGTAGGTGAAATTATAAGGACCTATATGGTTGTATCTAGTAGTAGCGGTAAACATGGCGTGTCTGTTGAGATTTGTGAAGGTAGCGTTTAAGATAGTCACACACTCTTAGTTTTGAAGTAATTGATTTGTGGCAGGAGCTGTTCTGTGTCTCCCTTTCAAAAGGAAAGATTCTTTTTGCATGTCTAGTTGCAAAGTAATAGGATGAACCTATCACTTGAGAAGAATCTGTTTCCAAAAGAAACTGATTTTCTGAACCGCTTAATTAACTAGAATAAGCATATTTTCATCTAAAGATAAAAACTTTACCAAGTTTAAGTAAGCAATAAAAAAGAGACTGCTACTATAGCTTGACTTTTATTATGAGAAATGTATGAGAGTCACAAATGAAATGATAAATGATAGATATGAAAAGGGTGTAAATAGAAATACTTTATACTTTACACTAAAAGTAGTAAGACAGGAAGAATGGTACTGCAAATAAATTGCTCAGTTGAAGAAAACCTCTGGTCCTCAAAACATTAGTGTTTTCTTCTGCAAATAAGCTTTCTTTACCCACATCCTGTTAAAAAGTCAAATATTTTGTTCAGCATAATAACCTTATGTCTCAAGTGTCTAAAATGTGCAAAGCATAAAAAGTATCTGGTTTTTTTTCATGATTTGTGTTTTCAAACTTGCCAATAATGAATAATGATGATGCCTGAATGAAGTTGACGAAGAGAGGTGGGGATGGCCGGGGTGGAAAGAAAAGGTTGTTGGCTGTGACTTCCCAGAATGATTACAAGGTCCCTGGCACAGAATGCTGGGCCCTCAAGCAAATATTCATTGAGCTGATTGAAACTGTTCGATGTTCAGATATTTTGGAACATTTTGATTTCCTTTCCAATGGATTTCTTGAGTTAGTACTATGTTCCTACTTAAAACATTGTCTCAGAGAAACAGCAAAACAGTACAAAGAATGTGGTTCTGCATGTCGAGCTTGACGGGGGGAGCTGGAAAGGCCTGCTCACTAATAGCCTGGAAAGTGCTTCTCTAATGAGCTGAAAAAATAGGCCCAGAGATTTACAACGTTTATCCAGGGGTACAGCTACTGAGAGAGAGCTGAGGCCCACATAATGGGCTTCTGACTTTTCTTTTTCCCCCAAGTCCTTTCCACTTCATGTAGCTTGTATTCCAGAATGGTTCTGCTGTCTCAGACATCCCAGCCTTCAGGCAGCCACCTGTCTTAGAGTTTTGCTTCCATTTTCCTGTCAACTGCTCTCTCCAGGGCTCCTGATTGGTTTATGCCTTTTTTTTCCCCCCGCAGAGGCTGAGCCTCTTAACCTTTTCCTGCTACTAGGTTAGGAGAGGTCTTGAGGTGATATAGTTATGGCATTTATTGTCCTTGTTCTGAATTATTCCTCAAGATGCAGGTTCGTTACAATACAAACCAGTCCTCTTACTGCTTTTCTGTATGTGGAATTTTCCTGTGAGCTTTGCCTTTTGGCATTACAATGTATTGTGCAATCATAAACAGTCTTTATTGAGATTGGCATATCAAAAGGATTTTTCTCTACTGAGTTTCCCTTTCCAGGTTCTGTAACACAAGGTAAGATACTATAGATAGAAATTTGAAACTCTGTGCTGGTAGCCTAGCCATTTTACCTCTTACAACCCTCACATCAATCAGTGAATTAGATGTAGCACTCGCCTCAAGGTCAGGGAGGAACAGTTGAGACAGTGGATGGGAAAGATCAATATTATAATATGAATTCTGTGGAAAACATTCAAAGAGATGGTTACTTTTAACTTTTTATGTGTTGCTTGGTTTCCAGATAGCAAAGCAAGAACTCAAAAAAATTGCCCTAGAATGTGCTTACCATTACAGCAGAATTGACTCTTAATTCTAGATTAGTACTTCTCATATTGGTGTGATTTTGCACCCTCCACACCCAACACCCTTCCCATATTGGTCAGTCTCTGGAGACATTTTTTTTTAATTGTCGCAGTTGGGACATTGTTACTGGCCTCTAGTGGATGGAGGCCAGAGATGCTGCTAAACATCCTGTAATGCTCGAGTTAGCCCCCACAACAAAGAATTATGGGGTCCAAAATGTCGGTTGTGGTAAGGTAGAGGAAACCTGTTCTAGATGATCTTAAGTGCATTTAGTTATAAAAATAAGTGAAAATGACTTTCACAAAGAATATTTCAAGCAGTATGCATTTTTTTTTCTTGAGACACAGTTTTGTTCTGTCACGCAGGCTGGAGGCAGTGGCCGATCTCTGCTCAGTGCAACCTCCACCTCCTGGATTCTCCCTCCACAGCCTCCCGAGTAGCTGGAATTACAGATGTGCACCACCATGTCCGGCTAATTTTTGTATTTTTAGTAGAGATGGGGTTTTGTCATGTTGGCTAGGCTGGTCTCGAACCTGACTTCAGGTAATCTCCTGCCTTGGCCTCCCAAAGTACTGGGATTACTGGTGCGAGCCGCTGCACCTGGCTGCAGTATACATTCTTAATTTTTAAAACTTAACTATTTAAGGTTAACGCCTGGCCAGTGGCTCACACTTGTAATCCCAACACTTGGGAGGCCAAGGTAGGTGGGTCGCTTGAGTTCAGCAAGACCAACCTGGCCAACATGGCAAAAACGCTTATCTACTAAAAATAGAAAAATTA